ACTCTAATCTTTGCCTCTGTCTTCACAAGGCCATCTTCCCTCTGTGTCCAAGTTGTCCTCTTCTAATAAGGACATCAGGCATTGTATTAGGGCTTATTCTGATTAAGTATGGCCTCATCATAGTTTTATTATATCTGCAAAGACCCAGTTTCCAAACAAGATCACATCTTAGGCCAAGCATGAGCCACTGTGCCCCTGTCTCTTATACACATCTAGATGTGTATAAGAGACAGGCATTGTATTAGGGCTTATTCTGATTAAGTATGGCCTCATCATAGTTTTATTATATCTGCAAAGACCCAGTTTCCAAACAAGGTCACATTCACAAGTACCAGGGATTAGAGCTTGAATACATCTTTTGAGGGGACACAATTCACCCCACAACAAAGGCATCCCCCCAGTGTAGTAGTCATTGTTAAAAATTGGGCAAAAAATTATATTTCATTCCATATCCTGAGTCTTCATTTTTCTGGTATTTCAGTTATTGCATAAGAAAGAAAATGTATATACCTATTCAATAGTGTTTGGAACAAAATCCTCTAGGTGTTTATGTTCAACTAACACTTACTATATTCCAAATATTATTCTGGCGCTGTCCCGGGGATTTTTATATCTAGGCTGTTTTCCCAAGCCTCTAGTACTATACAATTGATTAAAAAAACACTGTTTGAAATCAGAGGACTTGGCTCAAGATAATAAAGAGAAAATGACAGCCAAGTAACCATATGAAAATGCTCATTTATTAACTACAAACTGTGAACTTACCTGTCTACAAACTTGTAGAGGGACATATGTCCAAATTTAGAGTCCTTCCCTAACCTAACGAACTTAAAATAGAGTGAAGAAGCTCACATACTGGCCACATCAATTAATCATCTCTACCTTTAGCCACTTTTTGAACATCTACTATGTGACAAAAAGGTGGCACATTCAATGAATATTTAATTTTAAAATGGATGAATATATAATGTAGAATCGTATTTAAATCTCAAAGGAGATGAACAAATAAACTGATTTCAATGAGATCACCCAGAGGTGTATGGCAGAGTGGGGATTCAGTTCTGATATGTTTTTCTACCCTGCAACATAGCCTCTCTTCATTACTTACTGTTGAAAACGTGTGTTAGGGAGCCCCATGACTATCTGCAGGCTCAGTGATGCCCTGGAAGGACTCACAGGGCTCAGAATAGCAGTTATATTCATAATTACCGTTTATTACCTTCAGAGGACACAGATTAAAATGAGAAAAGGTAAAAGGCATTCATGGCAGAGTCCACGAGAGACAAAGTACAAACTTCCAGGTATCCTTGCCCGGTAGAGATATATGGACAGTGCTTGACTCTCCAGCAACAATATGGGTTGCCAACCAGGAAACGTCACCTAGCTCTGGTGTCCAGGGTTTTTGTTGGGGGGTCAGTTATGTAGCCATCAAATATCCTACATGGCTGATCTTACTCAGTCTCTCATTTCTCTAGAGGTCAAATTGATATCTCATGGTCCTAGAGCCCTAACACAAGTCACATTTTTAGCATCAACCATCTGGCATGGCCCAAGTCCCAAGGTAAAGAAAGATCTGTTATCCAGCAGAATATTCCAAGAGTGTGAAGTGTATTTTCCGAGAGTCATTCAAGGGACAGATCTTATTTCAGAGTGTGCAGGATTTGAACCATCTAGGCTTGCTGAGTCAATCGTCAATGTTTTTTTGCTTAGAGAGCAAAGTGATTTCTTTTCCCTTAAGAATCCTCATTCTGGAAGTCCTGGCCAGAGCAATCAGGCACGAGAAAGAAATAAAGGGCATCCAAATTGGAAAAGAGGAAATCAAATTATTTCTGTTTGCTAATGATATGATCGTATACCTAGGAAACCCTAAAGACTCCCTCAAAAGACTCTTACATTTGATAACTGAATTCAATAAAGTCTCAGGTTACAAAATCAATGTATACAAATCAGTAGCGCTGCTGTATGCCAATAACAACTGGCTGAGAATAAAATCAAGAACTCAGTTTTATTAACAATAGCTACAAAAAATAAAATACCTAGGAATATATTTAACAAAGGAGGTAAAAGGTCACTACAACAAGAACCACAAAACACTGATGAAAGAGATCAGAGATGACACAGAGAAATGGAAAAATATCCCATGCTCATGGATAGGAAGAATCAATATTTTGAAAGTCATCATATTGTCCAAAGCGATCTACAAATTTAATGCAATTCCTATCAAAATACTAACATCATTTTTCATAGAATTAGAAAAAACAATCCTAAAATTCATATGGAACCAAAAAATAGCTGAAGTAATCCTTAGCAAAAAGAACAATCTGGAGGCATCACATGACTGGATTTCAAGTTATACTACCAGTCTATAGTTACCAAATCACCATGGCACTGGTATAAAAGTAGGCACATAGACCAATGGAACAGAGTAGAGAACCCAGAAATAAAGCCAATCACTTACAATCAGCTGATCTTCGACCAAGTAGAAAAAAATATGTATTCAGTAAATGATACTGGGAAAATTGGATAGCCACATGTAGAAGAATGAAGTTGGATCCCTATCTCTCACCATACACAAAAATTAACTCAGATGAATTAAAGACTTAAATCTAACATCTGAGTCTGTAAAAATTCTCACAGAAAACCTAAGAAAAACTCCACTGGATATAGGCATAGGAAAATAATTTATGACAAAGACTCCAAAAGCAAATACAACAGAAAGAAACATAAATAAATGGGACCTAATTAAACTAAGTACCTTTTGCATGGCAAAAGAAATAACAGAGTAAATAGACAACCTACAGAATGGAAGAAAATATTTGCAAACTATACATCTGACAAAAGACTAATATCCAAAATCTACAAGGAACTCAAACAAATCAGCAACACAAAAAAGAAATAATGTTATTAAAATGTGGGCAAATGACATGAACAGATATTTCTCAAAAGAAGATATATGAGTGACCAAGAAACATGAAAAAATGCTCAACATCACTAATTATTAGGCATATGTAAATTAAAACTGCAGTGAGATGCTACTTTACCCCAGTAAGAATGGCCATTTTTAAAAGGTCAAAAAACAACAGATGTAGGCATGGATGCAGTGAAAAAGGAATGCTTATACACTACCAATGGGAATGTAAATTAGTACAACCTCTGTGAAAAACAGTATGGTGATTTTTCAAAGAACTAAAAGGAGATCTACCATTTGATCCAGCAATCCCACTACTGGGATTCTGTTCAAAGGAATAAAAAAGTTATTATATTAAAAAGATACCTACACATGTATGTTTATTACAGCATAATTCATAATTGTACAAAGATATGAAATCAACCTAAGTCCCCATCAACTGATGAGTGGATAAAGAAAATATGGTGTATGCCGGGTGCGGTGGCTCACGCCTGTAATCCCAGCACTTTGGGAGGCTGAGGTGGGTGAATCACAAGGTCAGGAGATTGAGACCATCCTGGCTAACAAGGTGAAACCCTGTCTCTACTAAAAATACAAAAAATTAGCTGGGCGTGGTGGCGGGCACCAGTAGTCCCAGCTACTCTGGAGGCTGAGGCAGGAGAATGGTGTGAACCTGGCAGGTGGGGCTTTCTGTGAGCCAAGATCATGCCACTGCACTCCAGCCTGGGCAACAGAGCGAGACTCGATCTCAAAAAAAAGAAAAGAAAAAGAAAAAGAAAATGTGTCATATATAAATATGCACATACACATATGTGTGTGTCTGTGTATAAATATATATATATGTAAAAACACACACACATATATACATATACCATGGAATACTACTCAACTGTAAAAAAGAATGAATTAATATCTTTTGCAGCAACTTGAATGAAACTGGAGGCCGTTATCCTACGTGAAGTAAACCAGGAATGAAATACCACAGGTTCTCATTAAGTGGGATAAGCTATGGGGATGCAAAGGCATACAGACTGGTATCATGGACAGTGGAGAAAGAGAAGGGGGTTGGTAGGAGAGGAGTGAAATGAAAAATTGCCTTTTGGGTACAATGTACACTATTCAGGTGATAGGTACACTTAAAGGGGACTTCACCACTATAGAATACATCCATGTAACCAAAAACTACTAAAGCTATTGAAATTACAAAGCTGCAGGGGGTGCGAGGAAGATGGCCATATAGGAACAGCTCCAGCCTCCAGCTCCCAGCATGAGTGACACAGAAGACCGATGATTTCTGCATTTTCAACTGAGGTACTGGGTTCATCTCACTGGGGAGTGCCAGACAATTGGTGCTGGTCAGCTGGTGCAGCCCGACCAGCTAGAGCTGAAGCAAGGCGAGGCATTGCCTCACCTGGGAAGCACAAGGGGGAAGGGAATCCCTTTAGAAACTGAGACACACGACACCTGGAAAATCAGGTAACTCCCGCCCTAATACTGCACTTTACCAATGGTCTTAGCAAATGGCACACCAGGAGATTATATCCCACATCTGGCTGGGAAGGTCCCACGCCCACGGAGCCTCCCTCATTGCTAGCACAGCAGTCTGAGATCTAACTGCAAGGCAGCAGTGAGGCTGGGGGAGGGGCACCCACTATTGCTGAGACTTAAGTAGGTAAACAAAGCTTC